ATTTGATTTAAATCATCTTTAAAATAGGAAAACCTCAATAAACTATTTATTTGAATACATAAATTTTAGTAATTAGTTTATTATTGTGTATGTACATAATTAAATTAGGAATTTTTTTTTCCATTTGTTTTGTTAATTCATATTAGTAAGAGAATGCTCAACTGTTTATATTTTTCTTTAAAATGACATATTTGACATCACCAGTATTCTTTTTTATTTGTATCATAGAAAAACTAGTTAGACCTAGTTTCTGGTTATGATTTTTTTAATGATTCAATATTGTTTATAAGCTAAATAGAGAATACAATTGATGAACAATAGTCAGCTATTAAATTAACATTGATCACTAAGGCTGTAGATCTCACTTCATATGGATGACGCCTCAATCAAAATTCCTGAAATGTTCAGTACAATGGAAAAGCAAGGTAATCAGTGTTGATGGTATATATGGAAGTGTTTGATTTTGCTATTTAGGTATACAAGTGTTTTCTTTATATTGATTGAGTGATTTCGATATTACTTCGACTACCCGTGTTTGGGTGTCTTTGTACAATCCAAACCATCATTATTCTGTCCTATCAGTTTGGCTTAGCTAGTTTATTCTACCAAACCTCCGAAGCACGTTTTAAAACACTCAATCAAAACAGATGAGTTTGATGACTGAACTATTCTGATAAGATTTATGATCTTTTGTCACCGCTGCAAATCGTATCCAGCAATATATTATGCTTAAATATTATCAGAACTATTCTATAAACTTTATCCTTTTTGTTACTTTATACACTCAGCGCAAGTGGGACAGAAACAACTGCTTAATGAGCAGCTTAAAACAGTACATTTAGCAAATATTTATTAAAATATATATTGAAATTTCATTCGTTCACTTTTTCAAGTAAATATGCATAAAAGTATGCATCAACAATTAACTGAAAAAAATTAGAATGAGCAGTAACCACACCACCATACATTGTTCGTGCTTCATCTAAGTATTCTATCGGTCAAATTCATTTAATTAATCTTGAACAACAAATGAATGTATATGCTATTTTATTTAAATTGTAGCAAACAAATAAAGAAAAGTATGTATATATTTCACTGAAAAGAATCGAATTAACAAATGAATGAAGCAATTCTATTCATTCATCAACAAATATTGTTCTCATTGATTAGATCATTCCATTCAATATTGTTTATTGAAATATGGTCATTAATATTCTTTTGATTTAATAAAAGAACACCTAATCAACAAAACTTTCCTTTCCATTCAACAAATTGCCTACAAAAATCTATGGAATGCAATACTGAAATCAAACTGTTGTATGCTGGATAATGTAATATCGTTTATACAGTGATTGGAATTATGCTGGTCTAATATGAACAGAACATTTTCATTGAATCCATTACTCATAAAATGGATATTCAAAGATTGAATAGATATGAGTCACCAGCTTGAGACTAGTGACTTTATAGTGTTAGTCATAATTATGTATCTAAACTGAATATTAGAGATGTTTTCGCACTATTTTATATCAACGATGCAATATTTGATGTGGACGTATTCTAGCTGCATCTTGTCATTCAACCATCAGAAATAACATAGATTACATCAAGAATATATATATATATATATATATATGTAATATAAGAAGAAATATACAAATGTTTGGAGAGGGGTAGAATATCAATGTAAAAAAGAGCAGATAACAGGTTAATTCAATTAGCGAAATTGCCTATTTGACAAACTAGCTTGAAGAGTTATCCAATAATTCTTTGAATGTTTACATACCTATGGATCAATTTTAAAATCCTTAAGATTTACTCAGTTTAGGTTTGATCATACAATCAATAACTTTTAACCGTTTCAAAGGTTTAATTTTCATACTATTACTGTTTGCTTATTTTTAAGTCAGTATTCTGGCAGTATTATGGAGTAGTGGACAAACAAAATGATTGATCAAATATTATTCTTATTGTTCCGTTGTACTATTTAAACTTGGATTAATTTTAATTTGGTTATTTATTCTCTGAAGAAGTGACTTACACTAAGTCACGAAACGTCAGAAAATTTAATTTCCTACTCATTGGGATATTACAAATATATTATTTATTTATAACAATCTACCCAATGCTCAATTTATTCGAAATTATCAAATCAAACATTGATAATGATACATAGACTGAATGTATTATTTATTTATTCATGTAATCATAATTTTGAGCTAGTTTTCAGCACGAACTACCTTTTAGTGGTACACCATCAAAAACCAGCTGTTTCATCTTTGAATGGAACTGATTTGGAAGACGATTTTACAACGAACTCATCAGATAATAATGGTTAACTTTGAGATTAATACCAAATAGTGTGATAAGAAGTCTTAATTACTTACTTACTTGATTACTTACGCCTGTTACTCCCAATGGAGCATAGGCCGCCGACCAGCATTCTCCAACCCACTCTGTCCTGGGCCTTCTTTTCTAGTTCCATCCAATTCTTGTTCATTTTTCTCATGTCCATTTCCATTTTCCGGTGTAATTTGTTCTTTGGTCTTCCTCTTTTCCTTTGGCCTTGAGGATTCCATGTGAGGGCTTGCCTTGTGAAGCATTTGGGTGCTTTCCTCAATATGTGTCCTATCCACTTCCAGCGCTTCTTCCTGATTTCTTCCTCCGCTGGGATCTGGTTTGTTCTCTTCCACAGTATGTTGTTGCTAATAGTGTCCTGCCAACGGATCTGAAGTATTTTGCGAAGGCAACTGTTAATAAACACCTGTATTTTCTTCGTAATTGCTTTCGTAGTTCTCCAGGTTTCCGCCCCATACAGTAGAACTATATTGACATTTGTATTGAAAATCCTGACCTTGGTGTTGGTTGACAAGAAGTCTTAGCTGATGAAATTTAACCGCATCACCGACTAGGTATTACAAGTGATATGGAGTGGTTGTCGCAGTATATCGCTAACTGAGTGATGTTGAAATATGGGCAACAGGGTACTGATCGCTTTGTCTGACAGGAATACACTCCATTCGAGAGCTGAAAGTCCTCGCACAGACCCGTTATGAGATACTGAGAGTGCACTACTAAGCAGTCTCGAATATGAACAATATAGATGTTTGAATTTTCTTCGTTTTTAGTTTTTTGGAAGCTGAAGTTTATCCATTTTGATTTTATCTCCACAATCAACCAACTAATTATTAATCGTCTGTTTACTAGACACATCAAGAGTTATGATAAATTTGGATTCTAAATCAGATGAACGGAGTTTAACTATGATCAATTATAGTTTATTTATTTTCAGAATAATTTTAACAATGACTTATGAAAACAGAAATGTGTTAGGGAAATCTAGATAAAATAAACCGAATTTCAATATACTATTGGAAATGAGTTTTTTACATGAAAGATAACGTTTACTGACTACTTTCATGACAACGTTTAAAACGTAATCCTAAACCGAATGATTAAGAATGTTTACCAACTTGAATATAGAGTTGGTGAATATATTTTAACTAGATAAATTTAATTAAGTATTTAAGAAATAATTGATACAACTGTAAACAATCTAGTTTCGTCTGCTATTGATTACAAATGTAGGTTTTCCAAATACTTAAACTATGTTACCCAACTGAAGAAAGCGAATATTATTTGTTAATATCTACCGAAAATCTATATCCTTTCACTTTTGAAGCTTTTTGGATCCATATGCGATATTATTTCTACACGGTATAACTGTGGTTTATATATTTGATCATTTCAAGTCAAAGTTTACATTTTACGATTACAAGGGTACATCCAATAATCAGGAAAGAACAAAGTGCTGAATACTTTTACTATTCTCAAATAAACCTGATTTTTATTCGTTTTAATCATTGGATTGTGGTTGTAAATAAATGAAATCGTGATGTGTTTTTCGACAGAAATAACCTATGACAATGATCACTGCACTCTCCACTTTCAAATTCTGAATGCGCTTAGTCGGTTCTTAATACTAAATACAAAATCATTTTCACTTTAATGATTGCGTCATATTTCACCGTTAGAGGTGAAAATTTGCCTTATCTGATTACGCTTTATGAAAATATTTAGAAAATTATCTTAATTATTTTTGTATCCAACCTACAACCCCCTCACGAAATAAAATTAAAATACTTATTCGTCCAAAAACTAAACTTATGGATTCATGAACCGTCAGAATCAGTATATCTATTTTACTACATAATTTTTAACTGAACCTAGTTAATCTCATTTTATATCATAGACAAATCAACGAACTATTAATTTGTGGTTTTGTAGAAATTGTTGAATTTTCAGTTGAAATCACGAAATGAGCCCGCATCCAAAAGTGTTGATGTCTTACTCCGATCACTTCATGATATTGCGCAACCCTCATCCACAGCCTGAGATGGATAACTGTCTCACACTCGTCACAGGTTGAACTCCACTGGTCATGGTTTATTACTAGAACTCCATACGTTGGACCTTCAAGGTAGTCGTTAGTGAGCAGATGGTTGTTATTAGTTGTATAGGGGGATTTATGGTTAAGCTTTCGATACCTGGATACGGGATTGCCTCTGCTGAAGTGTTTCGTACTAAAAAGAACCAACGGTCTAGTGCCCTCATGTTTTTAATGGTAGTTTAGCTAAGATTAGTTCGTTATTTAAGTTTTGAAAACTAGAAAATAATTATCTACTTATTAGTGTAATGGTTGATGTAACTATGATGAGTATAAATCTTCTTTTTATTGATTCAGAAAATATCCCTGAACTTCGTCTGATTTTGATGATTACAAAGTACAACAAAGGAAGTGGTTATAAACTACCGGACTCCAGATTCCTATGCTTTCGTCACTCGTGTCTTTCAAGGTCATTTTAACTTTTGTTCATGCAAGATCAATCAATATTTTTGTTAAAATGAAGCCTAAAGGGTGTATAATCTTTACTGTAATAACAGCAGTTATAAATTAACACAATTTATTTAAAGACAAGCGAAGGAAAGAGGAAAAACCACTCATTTATTTGTCTTTTATACTGAACCACTATTTATATTGAAAACGTACAACTGACTTGTTGAAAAAAACTGTAATAACTAACTATTATTACTTATAAACTTGTACAATAGTATTCTGATTATCTATAAAATAAATTCAAGTGAAAAGAAATTTCAGTGGTACATTTTAGTTAATAATTATATCTCTGCGAATAAGCTGATGGTTAGAATGGTTTATATCTTTTATTTATTTGAGCACTTTTAACTTGTAACTCATTGATTTACTGTCTTTTTCTGAATAATAGATTTAACGTTTTGATTAATACAGTAAAGAATACACTTGAGATATATCATAACGTCTTGTTTAAATGTGAACAATGGTGCTTATACAAATTTAGGAATTTCAATAATATAGCTACGAATCCCACATAAACCAAAGTGTATAGCATTGCGTTTTCACTCCATTGTGTAAAATCATTCCATGTTATTTCTGAAATAGATGCATTTTGTGTAAAAGTTATATTTGGTTCACATAATCGTACCTATGGTGAAGTAAAATGTAAACATATGTAAATAATTGTCAAGAAACACCAGAAATAAATTTTATGTTAGTTACCATTAATTGCATATGCAGGCGTTTTCTACATATTACATGTAAAACTGACTTATCGTTACGTTTTAATAGCTCGACAGAGAATAATTATATACAAAAGAATGTGTTTTAAGAAGTCAAGTGAACTACCTGTTCTGATTCACCCACACAATCCTCTTCATTTTCATATAAACATAAACGTATCCTTGTACTCTGTCCAGTAGATCCGAAATCCTGTTCACAAAATGTCCACTCTGACCAATCTGACCAAATACTTCTAGGTATATCACATTTTTCGCCTCTATATCCTTCCTCACAATCACAGACACTGTTAGTAAGATCCTTCAAAAAATATTAATTCATCACTTAATTAAATAATCAAATTATGATCTGAACACAATAAAAAATATGTAACTTCAGACAATTTTATTTTATAATGATAAATTAAACTTCTTTTGCCAGTTGGAAAAGTTTAACAATTCTATTATCGAAATAAACTTGTCTTCAACCGATGAAATTATGAGCTACCAAAAAGGAAGAAACGATATGTTCAGTTGATTGATTTTAATGTGATATATTCTGTAATGACTCGAAACAAGAATAATAGTGTGTGCTACTGATGTCGACAGATATAAGTAGTATGTACCATCTATCGATAGTGGAATGCCTGGAGGCAGAGGGTTAAGAAGATCATAGAAAATAGAACGAGAAAAAAGAATGATTGGTATGGAAACGAAAAAACGATGAAGTTGGAGACGATTGATTGACATTTTGCAAGTGAAATATTTATTGTATGGATCTCAGATTTTACTCTTAGTAATTTTGTGATCAATTACATTCGATTGTCCCCACGTGTTTTCTCGTTCACTACAGTATTAGTTGAATTATATCTCACTTATTGCCACCGGTACGATTGTTTACGATGACTGCAGAATAATGGCTACCTTCTACTTGTTGCAACGTAACGAAACTGTTATGTCGATGCAAAGAAGTAAACATAATGTTGATGAAGACTGCTATATTCAGCAACCACTAATTAAACGAAACCCACAATAATAATTGTAATTGTACATAATTTTAAATGTTTAGTCAATAAATAAAACCGGATGAATCGAAATAGGAGTTAATAAATGATTTTATTTGTGTATATAATTCGCCAAATAAACTAAGTAACTGACTTACTCGGGAAATATACTTCATCCCTGAACTTTATATTTGTTTCCTTTTGAACACAGCCCTATTGAGCCAACTAGTTTTATACGTGTAGTTTTATGTAAAATTGCAACTAAGCTTCAAGGAATCAGTGTCAACAAATTTATTATAAATCCTTATCTGTTTACGAATTAATCATATACCAATAATAAGATTTGATAAAATACGGTTTAACTATTTATGTAAGATTGGAATCTGAGAGTCCGTTTATTGGTAAACAAAGTCAGAAACTTAATGAACGTGAATACTTTTTACAAACTTATTGATAAAAATGTGTAATATTGTCTAAATTACTAGAGGCAAAATGTTGAATAATATCCCACCTGGGTCACAGGCAATGTCTGCACAGTGAAAAGAAACACATATTTTTGTGACCTCTATTTATAATCTTTATCAGGTATATGCTATTTGGTAAGTAACACATAATCAGAGTATACTGGTTGAATATTTTGCGTATAATTTAAAATTTTGTTTTCGCGATTCATATTAAGCTTTAAGGAAGGAGTTGGTTACTCTGAAAATCTAGTCCAAAAAATTTAGGGATGAACCAATTCTACAATCTTATTGTGCATGTAATTCGACCAGAATTCGTGTAAGTAACTTTCAAATCAATCGACCTGTCATATAGCTTAGGTAGAATTTAAGATAAATTATCACTTCGGTCCCTCCTGTGAATAACTAAAGTAGCTATTTTTTAATGAACTAGTACTGAGAATCAATTAAAACATGCTCAAGAATGAGATAGAACATCGTCCATATACTTATCAGTGTTCATTTTTAAAAATTCCTTTCAAATATCAGCGTTAATTTTATAGTAAACGTGGTTCGAAATTTTAAATCTATTCAGCTGAGACTAATAATATTATCGGGACATTAATGGTGTATTTTATTTATTTGGTAAATAGACAAGATAATTTCCAAAATAAAATCCCTTTGATTACAATCTGTTCCCAAAACCAATAGCATCATATCCATGTTTCATATATGAAATCTGATATGATGGAACGAAAAATCAATTTTCGATTGATTTGCTTATTATAAGTTTTATTCAACATTAATTTCATTTTAATTTAATATAATGATTACTCAATGTAATATTCGATTTTCTTTTGTCGTATGATTTTTTATTATGTAATAACATACGATATTCTTGTATTCTATTGACATGAACTATACTCAATCTGTGAATTGTTATAACTTTAAGTATTTTTCATATATGTGAATTACATTCTAATTATTAATCAAAATGGGTGTACTAATCAATATATAAATGAGTGTATTTTAGACTATTTTGATCATCGTCATCGTCGTCGTGTTTTGGGTGTCAATAAAGCTTCACTTATACCAGTCTTTTAATTCTTACTTCGCATCGTGGGAATCGCAGAGGTTCCTCGTTCCGAGTATAAGTTTTTCGTTTAAATAATTACTATTACGGTTTTTTAACACACAGTACTCTGTCATTAAATATTGCACTAAGTTATATTTTTCTCCCAAAAGGCACCAACGAAATAACACAAAATTACAGTAGACCGTGATAGTCATATTTTCAATTTCTTCCATGAAAAAGCTTTGATTGTTTCCATTTAAACCATAAGTCATATATTCTACAACGGTATATGATCCAGCTAGGATTAAATAATCTATCTTAAGAATGATCCATCTTGCAGTAAAAGTGAAAACACAAGTCTGAAGCAATTTCAGTAATCAATATCATCCTGAATATTAACTCATAAAACTAGTTAGTTAAGCTTGTAATCAGTATAAAGTGATCCTGTGCCAATAATGACTCGATATAAGAGTGCTTATTGATTACTATATACTGCGTTTAAACTAGTAACCGTGATTAGCAGATGTATTTAATACTTTGAACAACGTTGGCTGTTTGAGTATAAAATTCAAAGCATTATTAAATCAAGTTAACGTTTTCGGCAAAACGGATGGAACTACTCAAGAACGACTCGAGTAGTTGAAAATATTCCTAGAATGATTCTTCACCAAATATTTTCATATGTAAAGTTGTACGTTTCATAGAATTTCAATACCACAGATTATGAGATTACTAAAATCTAGTCACCATCAAAGTACAGCAATCGGCGACGACCAAGTACAACAAAACCATACATTGGAAAATATCGTTGGGAACCGGAAGTCTTTGAGAAGAGAATGGGGAATCTTTTATACAAAGTGCGTGAGATTTTCGGAATGTGGTTTAGATACATTAATCAAATACACAGAGACAAAAGGACTCTAGACTGGGTAGATTGTCAAGTGAGGCCTCCACTAGATATAATTACAAATACACCAATCACAGAAACCCCAACAGACACTCATAAACGCTGGACACCAAGAAGGTCCGAACGCCTCAGGAAACCAGTTATAAAGTTGCAAGTAGACCCGAAGAAGAGGTCTTATTTCTTGAAAGAGGGGAGGTGTTCGGATGATCCAGAAAATTGCTAGCAAAAGACAAACAACCATCAGGAATCACTAAGAAGTGTTTCGTCCAGTCAGCGTTCACTTGAAGTTTTTGCCAAAATTATCAAGGAAGCGAAACATCACATGAAGAGGTTCCGATTGGTTGGCTGATACACTGCTACTATGTTTCTTAGCATTCCTGAAGCTTCTAGCAACCTAAGGACATTTAAAATATTATAAAACCCTGTATTTTCTGTATTAAAATGAACCTTGGAGTAAACTACTTCTCGTATACTTTGAGTCTTCTCTCTCGTGTTCAGGTCGCTGTGTAGTTCTAGCTTGGGGGTTACAGAATAGCTTATGAGACGAATATAACGTTCAATCCTTCAAGACATATCAGGGGCAACGGGGATTAAAAATATAATCAATATTTCCTTGGAGCAACTAGAAGCTTGTATGGAACGTCAAGAAAAGAGTTTTGAACAGTCTCAAATCAGAATCGTGGAAGCCATGATGCAAAATTTTTTCCTGTCCCAGGTTTGAATTGTCTTCCATGACTGAAGACCAATTTAAATGCCTAGTGTTTATCTGTAGCCTGCACTCACCCGAGGATGCTGAGATCCGAACGATAATCCTGAGCAAGCTAGAACGCTGCCCCAACATGACGCTGCAGGAAGTAGCTACTAAATGCCAAAGGTTAGTGAATCTGAAGCATGATGCCGCAATGGTAGAGAACGGCAACCGGTTCCTTCATGTCAATACAGTCGGGAGAAAAGTCTCACAAGGTTCCAGCACTCAGAATTATCGTAATGACAGCAGCAAACCATCATTCCCATGCTGGTTATGTGGCGGTCGGCACTTTAAAAGGTTTTGTCCGTTTAAGAATCATCGTTGTACTATGTGTTCCAGAAAAGGGCACAAAGAAAGTCATTGCAAAACTCGAAAACGCCGTCAACCGAAAGAGTATTCTAAGAGATTCAAACAGTTAAAGTAACGGTAACTGTTCACAAAGCTGGCTCCCATAACCACAGAAAGTATGTTTCTCCCAAGATTAATGGGTATGATGCCCGCTTACAGTTAGATACAGTCTCCGATATGACGCTTATAAGCAGGAGGATGTGGGAGAAAATTGGGAGACCGAAAATATATTCAACTCATCAATTAGCACATAGTACATCCAGGGGAATTCTAAACATTGCGGGCGAGATTCATTGTGAAGTAACAGTCAAAGAGTCCACGGAGAAGGGGGTAATATTTCTGACAGACCGTCCATCACTCGATTTTATTGTGGCTTGATTGGATGGAAAGGTTGAAGTTGACAGACCGCCACATAGACTCGATCTGCAACAACGTCAGTACGTCGAAAGTTGAGAAGAACGCATTCAAAAGAGCACTACTGAGAGGGGAAGGAGAGGGGACAAGTAAGGTAATTACGAAATTCCTAACAGCTTATAGAACTACGCCTAACCCTATTGTCCCAGATGGGAAATCCCCTGCTGAAGCGATATTCGGCAGAAGCATCTGAACCATATTCGATGTCATGTTACTACCTAAACTAATGGATGGACGCAGACAAAATCAGAATATTCGTAGTTTTAAGATCGGTGATAAAGTGTTCGTCAAATCTGATATGATGGAACGAAAAATCAATTTTCGATTGATTTACTTATTATGAGTTTTATTCAACATTAATTTCATTTTAATTTAATATAATGATTACTCAATGTAATATTCGATTTTCTTTTCTCGTATGATTTTTTATTATGTAATAATATACAATATTCTTGTATTCTATTGACATGAACTATACTCAATCTGTGAATTGTTATAACTTTAAGTATTTTTTCATATATGTGATTTCATCTTAATTGTTAATCAAAATGGGTGTATTGATCAATGTATAAATGAGTGTATTTTCGACTATTTTGATCATCGTCATCGTCGTCGTGTTTTGGGTGTTAATAAAGCTTCACTTATACCAGTCTTTTAATTCTTACTTCGCATCGTGGGAATCGCAGAGGTTCCTCGTTCCGAGTATAAGTTTTTCGTTTAAATAATTACTATTACGGTTTTTTAACACACAGTACTCTGTCATTAAATATTGCACTAAGTTATATTTTTCTCCCAAAAGGCACCAACGAAATAACACAAAATTACAGTAGACCGTGATAGTCATATTTTCAATTTCTTCCATGAAAAAGCTTTGGTTGTTTCCATTTAAACCATAAGTCATATATTCTACAACGGTATATGATCCAGCTAGGATTAAATAATCTATCTTAAGAATGATCCATCTTGCAGTAAAAGTGAAAACACAAGTCTGAAGCAATTTCAGTAATCAATATCATCCTGAATATTAACTCATAAAACTAGTTAGTTAAGCTTGTAATCAGTATAAAGTGATCCTGTGCCAATAATGACCCGATATAAGAGTGCTTATTGATTACTATATACTGCGTTTAAACTAGTAACCGTGATTAGCAGATGTATTTAATACTTTGAACAACGTTGGCTGTTTGAGTATAAAATTCAAAGCATTATTAAATCAAGTTAACGTTTTCGGCAAAACGGATGGAACTACTCAAGAACGACTCGAGTAGTTGAAAATATTCCTAGAATGATTCTTCACCAAATATTTTCATATGTAAAGTTGTACGTTTCATAGAATTTCAATACCACAGATTATGAGATTACTAAAATCTAGTCACCATCAAAGTATTTTAACTATAGTTATCTGCGTTTTTGTAAAACGAGGTCAATTTCTTTATTAATTTTTGGATTGATTATTAGATTTAACTTAATATGTACACCTTTATATTTAGTTTAAAATGCTTTGGAAATGTATACAACATTTCTCGCAGTTTCAGTTAGAAAATGGTCACAGTAAGAGTCGTCCCACTATTAGCTTCAATTAGCTTCTTAAATTTTTTGGGCCGTGTATTTTGATCAAGGGGTAATTAAGTTGAAGCCAACTACTTATTCTTTCGAATATACTTAGAGCCAGCTGAAAAAAATAAACAAATTGGATCAGTTGTATACTAGTCAAATTTTAAGCAAATACAATTATTATTAATCCAGGAAATCATGATTTTTGTGTTGTTTCATTCTCCGAGCTGAATGATTTAATTATGTAGCCTCAGATAGAAGCTAGATGCTCGAACCTCCCCACATATTATGGATGTGGTTTTGATTTGGTGTCATTATCATTGAACCCGTCCGTATACTTATTTCGAAAGCCTTCTACCTTTCACCTAATTCTTGTTTTCATATTCCCCCAGGATGTTTCTAATCAGTCGGTGAATCGCACCGATTTAGGTGTGTTTATTGATTACTGATTGACCTGAGTGACATTTTACAAACATTCTCTAATTTTCTTTGTATTCCCTCCATCCAAATTCTCAGCATTTTCACAGTCAAACGTTTATGCATAATTGTCAACGTGCATTGAAATAATGGAGACACGCCATGGCGCTTGCCAAATAGATGGTGTCCATTCAGTTGAAAAGGTTCATTTTATAGATGATGTTTGGCTTTTCTTCTTTCATCATTCTTTTATCCTTTGATTCATACCACAGTAATTCAGATGATTTTGCTGATTTATGAGCTATGCCTATTCTAAGCAGCCTTAATAATGTGACTGTGGTTTTTTATTTGCCCTTTATCTGTTTGTTGATCTCCATATTTGATTTTATTATTGGTACATTTATGATGTCGATGAAAATCATCAAAAGTGAAAACTACAAAATACTTATAACTAGTGATTGGTTGTGTTAATTGGTGCTGATTACAGCTTCTACTAATGAATCAGGTGAACTCACTCTTTAGCTTAATCAATATAGAGGGACCATTTTTAGTTTGTGTTTATTTCTATTATCATCTGTAGAAATCATTTATTTCTGTTATTGATTTTGTGACAGTCTTGTTTTAGAGGGTGAAAAACTAAAATAATAAATTAACTTGAAATGATTCAGCGAATATTTTTTCTTACACTGAGAGAATCGCGATATTAGTCTTGAGATATATCAGATTGTGTTACGTGGTCACATTTTGAAAAAGCAACATCCTAATAACGATTGTTAGTATTGCAGAATCATTGGAAGGATTAATACATATTTAAATAATTACCTTTTTCTAATAAATATAAGGAATGATATGAAAATTAAATCTCATTTCGAATTACGGTTTCTGAAGTTAGTTTTATCTTAAATGATTTCATTGATGAGGTTTTGAATTAGGATGTCCTATATCTTTAGGAAGACAACTTAAACTCAGCAAAAGTAACTGATGGAAGCGAACCGTAAAATAAGAAATTTTGTGGTTCATTTATGGAAGTCTGTCATTGAAAGGTGTCCAATACAATAAATTCACCTACGAAAAAATTTGCTCAAACATTCCGTTTAGTTGTTAGGTTTACATTTCTTGTGGTACAAGCTAGAAATCTTTCTACCTAACATGAGGCTAGTATATTGTGTAACAGTTTACTTTGTACTGTTTTAAGACTAGCTTTCGGTCATGGATCCCTTTGAAGTACTGCTCACATACTGGTGGAAGCCCCAAGAAAGTAGTTTTGAAGTGAAACATAATGTATAGGTAAAATATGTAAAATTGATTAGTAAGGCTTCGAAAATTTCATCGACTGAGTTGGCCAAGACACCTATATCATAAAAAACCTTTAGTTCATCCTAACGATAGTCAGGATAGCTTGAAAGAAGACGGTGAGTTGCCAGACTATGCATATGAAGACTCTGACTGCTAATATGAGCCATATGGGGTGATTAAACTATACCACCATCTAGGTCGTTTGACCAAGTTACAAACAGAAAACTTTAGAATGACATCAGTAGCCAGTTAATATGAAAGAATATACAAGCGTAAAGAGATTTTTACCGATCATATGTTCATTTAGAAAATAAACTGAGTGATTTTTGAGGAAAACATACATGATAGTATTTGTTCAAGTTATCGCATCTCATCTTAGTACAGAAAGAAAAAAGTTAATAGAATTGTAGATACATTATTAAATAGGTAGGGAATTAAGGAAGAAAAATTTCGCACTGATGGGTCACTGAGTGACAGCCAACTTAATGCATAATTAATACTTAATGTTGAAAAATTCTATCGATCAGTTCGAAGAAAGGCCACTAGTTTAACTGACTCTACGTTTAGTGCAACATTTTGGATACTAAGTGAATATAAGCTATTGACGCCAAGCCTTATACTTACATTGACACTACTTAGCACTGCGTATCTGTAATCTTGATGGAACCGATGGTGCTCGTGAGATTTGAATAAGCTTCACTAAATGTCAGTATTATGTTATCACCATCTGAACTTCTACTGATCCCCAAATAGAAACGAGATACTCGCACAAATTCATCACATAATACCAATCAATATCGTATTTTTTAGTTCGTCGTACTGATATAATTCCAACACGGATTCGCTGGCAGCGTAAGTCCAATCAAAATTGAATATACATCTTGTTGGAGAATGTCAGCTAACACTAAAATTATACCAAGGGCTGCCTCCAGCTACCGCATACTGAAACAAAAAATTTCATTATATTCAAGACTAAATAGACGATTGTAGTTGCAATCAAATTTGAGTTTACTTACCAGTGGCTTTCAGTCACTGATTTCTAAATGTAATCATATGTTCAACTTGTAATAAATGGAATTGTAGATGAAATTTCAATAAACTCAATGAACAAATAAATGATAAACCTTACTTTTGAACTTATACATTCACCATGCAAACATAAACGTGTATCACATCCATCTTTTTGTTTCAAACAGTTATCATATGGTAAAGACAAATCTCTTGTATATCCTATACTGCACGTACAATTGTAAGTTAACATATCATTCATTGAATTGCATTTATTAGTTGGATTTAACAGAACTCCACATGCTTCATATCCTGATGGTATATATGGAATAGCGTCTAACGGATTCATTTTCAAAGTTGTATCAAATATGCAAGCGTCGAATGGTTGATTACAATCATATCCGGTGTAACCAGTTTTACAAATACATGTAGCTACACCTAATTATAAATTGAAATAAATTATACATAAATATCAAAGTGTCAATTGTAAGTTGTGGAATGCTGGTCGAACAGTCATGTACTATTCCACTACGTTACAGAACTAAACAATGGAAAGTAAAAGAACTTTAAAAAGACTAGAATACTATGAAGTTAATTGACCTGTGACGAATACAACTAATTTTGTGACATAGCAGATAATGTGTATTATCTTTGGTTTCTTTGATCACATGACTAAGTGAATTCTACAGGCTTGAACTGCTTAGTATAGCAGTCTACAACAGTTCCTTTTTCTTGATCCAGTTACTCTAAAACTTTCTCCATTCTATGCCGCCAACAGCAAATAATGTTAATGAACTGATAACTAATGTATTATATAAATACAGATGATGGCCAGATGCATATGACTTATATTCTATCTAATTTAATCGATAATAGTTAAAACATTATTGATTTACTTGCCATTAAGGTCACTTATTATAGTTATTAAGATCATGGACCGATAAAATTTAGACCACCATTAAAAGCTGGGAAACATTTTAAAGCCATTTTATCCTAATAGTCTAGAAGTTAAGCGTTTGCATGAGACCGAAGGTCTTGGGTTCAAGTCCTACATGAGGGATCGTGAATGCGCACTGTGGAGGAGCCGTTTAATAGAACTACACGGCCGTCCAGTGCTTTCAGGATTTCAATGATGGTCTAACATTGATCGGTTGAGGATCTCGATAAAAACTCAACAACCTCCGCAAGCCTATTCTAGTAACTTATTATATCTGACACGAGATGTGGTTTGAACGTAATTTACTGTCAATGATCATATCACTTTGATATGACTGTTGGTAATTGATTCTGTTCATAGAATAATTCCATAAATGAATATTACTTTGAAGATGGATTTAATCAAGACTAATGTCAGTTGTAGAAACGCTGATCACCAAAAATTGTTTGATGAGTATTTTATCAATGTTTTGATATACTTACTAGTGTTCAGTCATTACTTATACATCACAGATTTATTCTTGTGTAAGGTCATGAATGAAAACTGTAGAGTAATTTAAGACTAAAAAGAAAGTTTTTTGATATTTTCTAGTAATCATGGGTTTACAAGATGAAATTAGTTCGTGAGGAAAATTCTCAACATATGCAGTAATCTACACAAAAGCCAGCTAAATTAATAAACGATACTATTCTATAAGATAATACTAGCCAACATAAGGTTTTAATATACCACAGGACTTAAGTTTTGTTCTTCTCTCCGAAAGTCTCACGTTAAATGTTAACACCGGTCATTTGTCCCTTTACAACTCTCATTCCATGCTTTACCTGTACTTCCTATAAAAGTGTCTATAACCATACATTGTTCATTTATAACATCTATGTCGTACAACCGTGTAACAGAAACCAACAAATCGGTTCACTAAGTAATACTTAGTGAATGATGAAATCTATATTCTTTATTGTGCTGTACATGGAATGACTGAATGAATGCTCATAATAAATACTTCTGTTTCAATTTATAGCTTCTTTCAATAATTGTTAAGTCATAAAAAGTAATAAAAATGAAGAAGGATTATATGGGAAAGTAACATTTTAAGTAGGATTTTAGTAAATAATTTCATAAAATTATTACTTCATTTGAATTATTAATGTTTCACACATTTATAAAAACAAAAGATTATTTGATCATTTTATTGAGTTCTTCAAATCCTTGTTCATGTATTTATATTAGAGCAGATTAAATAGTTTAAGTACATTTTTTTTCCACTTGAAAAATAAAGTAGTGTAGAAAATATTTGATCATTAGACATTTCATAATTGAATTTTCTTTATAAATTACTATAGTTGTATATTAGAATGAGTTTTGTGGAGAATTTAGGAAATTTCACAGGTTGAAATCGTGAGTCAATTGAAGCTAGACCACCATGGAAAGCCTGGAAGCACTGGACGTCCGTTTCGTCCTAGTATGGGACTCCTCAGCAGTGTGCATCCACGATCCCGCATTCCGCGGGACTCGAACCCAGGACCTACTGGCTTCGCGCGCGAGCACTTAACCATTAGACCACTGAGCCGGCATCCAACGGTGTTAATGTCTAACTTCAACCAATCCACGAAGTTGCGCCACCGTACACCATTGTCTTCAGTGAGCTGATATCTGACAACAGACGTGGTTGAACTCCACTGGTAACGGCTTCTCACTAGAACTCCAGGAGGTTCTTCTGAAGTCAGTGACTAGTGAGCAGAAGATTATTATCAGAAGGGGTTTGTGGAGATTTTAGAAATTTCACAGATTGAAATCATGAGTCAATTGAAGCTAGACCACCAATGAAAACCTGGAAGTTGTATATATAAACTTTTAATCAGTGAAATGAAAGTTTTAACCCTGCCTCACTTATTTAAGTTTAGAACAATTATAATATTAGTAACCATTATGAAACTATTAGATAATTATACACTTATATGAAATGTGTAGAATGAATTTATCTTAGGTTAATAAAGTTTATATTATATTCATATTGTTTGTGATTGTTCAATCAAAAAAATATTGATTATAGTTACATATTTCACAACAAATTATAACTCTAATTCACTAAAAATCCATAAACACTGCTACGTATAATCCTTTTTAATCATAAAAATTTATTAACAGTGATCAAAAGAAAGTGAGATTTCTTCAAAATTCTTTCTGTTTTACCTGTTGTTTGATTAAGAAAACAAGATTCAGTCGTCTCATGATTACAAAACAATTTGCATGTATCAATTATGGTACACGATAATAAGTCCTTTTCCCATTTATATCCCTTAAATTAAAGAAAAATAAATAGTGAAAATAGCTAAACAAGCTGAAACCTGGCATAAATTAAAAGAACTAAAAATTAAATTCCAACTCAGTTATCAAAGGGCACTGTGGTTATTGTAAGATCCGGGAGATATTAGTTAAATCCTGTGTAAGGTATCGTATGTTAATTATTAAGGATTCTTAATGGTTATGCAAACGATATTGGTTTAAGATGAGACGTGCCTTTGAATTGAACAAAATTTTCACACAGATGCATTAGGAATCGACAATAAAAAATATAGTACATAAATTCTGTTTAACTGACAGTTTTTATTACTTTTCTTTACAAAATCTCCAAAGTTTTGCAGTGTTAAAAGTTGAGAAAATATAGTTGAACAGGAAGATTATTCATAGAGATTACTGAGGAAAAGTAAATGTACATGCCTACTATTTAAATCAAAAATGTGTTAAATAGTTTCATTTGTTAGACAATAACACCTTCATCGGCAGTTGATAAAAATCTAATGACATCTTACTAGTAATTGTATACCCTTTATCGTCAACTTTATCACTTAATGAATTACCTCTCATCCTGCAGTCATATATTCTGTCTTTTCTTGTGTAATTGAATGCTATACTTCACGCAGTAATAAGTTAATAGTCTGTTATAAAGCTTTTTGATATCCATTTAAATTGAATTCGCAAACAGAGTCACCTGATGCCCTCTAGACGTTGATATACGCAAGTCGACAGAAAGAACTTCACAATCATAAAGTATTTATCACCTAGTTACGATACTTAACACATTTCACAGACAAATAAATTCAAATAACACATATATCAGACAAATAAAATGCACAATGACTAGATAGATTTCCGCCCCCAAATGCCCTGGTACGGCCGAGAGTGGGGAGAGTCCGCTCTCCCTCTCGAAATACTCTCACACGGCCACGCGTATATAGCCTCTGCCAGGGAAGTCCTACTCACTGCCTTCTCGTGGCGGGGGTGTTGTTTACGAAAATGAGAGGACGAAAAGCGAATGTCCGGCGCTTTAACCGGATTCCAAACCAATGGTGCACATGGGCTCCAGTATCCTGCGGGAACAAATGGCGAATGAACCAATTGTTGGTCACCGGCTTCCATGGGACTGCATCTCCTTACGATGCTCCACTGCCTTGTGGATCAGACCTTTGGGTTGAAGGCTCGGGGTGTGGCCCCCTAAGATAACCACCTGCTTCGGTTTGGGCACCCGGGCAGTATCACAGCCCTCACACATATCGGATGAGATTTGTGTGGCGCATATGTATTTGGTGCCTCTTTGTACCATTATCTATGTGTTGAAATAAATAAATAAATAAAAAGATAGATTTCCTGATTTTTAAGATCGTATTTTCAAACGCGATGCAAACTACTTAATTTCTAATTTTCACCACCTTGAGTTCTGAATTACTAAATCAGAAATGCTCCCACACCCGAAATTTCACTACAATAACTTTCTTAGTTTATTTGTGAAAGTTATTGAGCTGATGTTTCTTGAAATAGGTGGTTAAATGCTGTGTCTTTAGGCTACCAGTGTTGGTATAGATAATGAAAGCTATTGGTTAATGATTTAATAACTTAAATAAAATTTGATCTTATTTTCAGTGAACTGCTTTACTTTATCAGATTAATTAGAATGCAAATATTATTCTGAAATCAATCAACACGCTACCCTAATAAGTTAATATAATAATTTTAAACGGTAAATTTAAGAATACGAGATTTTGCTCTGAATAACTAAAAACAAAATCCACGAAATATATATCATTATTCAATTCATTGATATAAGTTTAAAATATAATGTTTAACTGAAACTAACTACGTACTATAGACAAGAATTCATATTGAGAAAAACAAGTGTAAATAGCTTTCAAAATTTATTTTTAAAAAACCAAAACAGTTTGTGCTTTCAGAAAAAGGGATAACTTAGTAAACTAATCACCATGTCTCCAATAGCTAACTAATTAAGACTGACCCCAGAATTCTGTAGCATATATTCATGCGACACCTGAACATACATTGAGAATAATAAATCTATAAAGCCTGGGTATATTTCAGACCCAAACGAGGTTTTGCCTGTCTGATTTTCATCGCTCAATAGATTATCAAGCTCAGGTACACTTCACGGTGTTAAGAGTTGGGCATCCATGGTGTGTGGGCTAACAATTACTAATCCTAAACAAATATTCTTTATTTCATAGCACTATATCTTAACCTAAATACCCCTTTCTTTCTCTACCAAAATGTTTTTGGTAAGAATATAGGTGAGATCGAATACTTGAGTCAGCTTTGTTGAGCATCTTAGCAAAGGAGTAAGCAATCTTGGCAAGCTGACTAATGCTGATAAGCTATCGAGGGCTCGAGAAAACACATTGTTTATGAATAAGTAACCTCTCGAAAACTCAGAATCATGGGAGTGAGACCAGTGATTGTCTGAAGTTTTGGTGTGCTAATAATGTTGAGATAATTTAGTTTTTGAAGCCTGCCTGCTTTATGGTTTGAACCATCTCGCAAAATTCAAAGACTGAAGGTTTAAACGATCCATGCAGTTTGAACGTAGTTGGATTATTTGTTACATTTGACAACAGTCATATATATTATTACATATCAAACTAAAGACCATGTATAATAAAATACTTTTCTAAACATACTGATTCACATAAACATTCATAATCATCTTTATGATAGCCACGACGTTTACAAGAACCACCAACTGCATTTCGAATATAATGACAAGGTCTTCGCTTACATGGATTTGGACATACCTATGTTAATTTGAAATACAGGAAATTTGAAAATCGTTTTCATAAAGCTATAAGTAAGATTATTAACTGTTTTAATTATTGTGTATTTTAAATATTTTATTAGTATTTGTTTTCACATGTTAGTGGTTGAGTTCAATAAAGCCTTCCAGAAATTATTATTTTTCAGATAAGAATTCTATTCAGCCATTGGAATGGTCTCATTCTGACAAGCATTGCTTTTAATAAAAAAATTAGCGCAACTAAGTTTTCTTCATTTTCAAATCTAAACATGCTTCAAGGTTAGAAGGACTACTATTATCATCAATATGAGCTGATCTTAAATTTAATCAATTAATGATACATATTTCTGATATATCAAAGAGCAGAAATCTGAATTTCTGACATTCCGTGACTTAGGGTAAATAAATAAACACCCGAATTAAATTTATTTAAGTTTGAATAATACAAAAGAAACAAAGCAGAATATTTTTAGTACACTCAAAATCAAAATAGGTCTGATCATGTCAACGTCATGTTGTTTTTTGGTTGAGATGATTCTGTGCGAGACATCGCCGTGTACATTTGCATGTAAGGTATTGGATATGGAAAATGGTGTAGTTAGAATTTGAGTTGAGTTTAAGTGTATTGTGTGGGAAACAAAACAGAATGAAGTGTAGATGTTTGGACAAACAAACCAAGCTTGGTGAATAGTCAGGCCTTTTTTATTAAGGGTAGGACGATTTAACATCATGTGAAACCATCAAACCACGCATTTAACTCAGATATGTAGTTGCATCATCTGTCATTAAAAAAGAATCCCCTTAGAAATTTCTCTAAACTGATAAGCACTTTCTCAGTCCATATCAAATTCATTTTCAAAAGAGATGAACATAGTGAACTGCCATTCTTGGTCTGTTTAGTTAAAAGGAATTCTAATGGAATTCCACAATTTGAAAGTTTGAATAATCTGGTATTATTACAATACTTGACTAACGACGAGAGGTTTATCCATGAAAACATCAGTTCAGAGAATAACAGAACTACAGAAAAAAGGGAAACTTACGAAAACTCACTTCTAAGTCAGGAATAGCTTCCTTCATCTCACCATAAAGATGACATATGGTATATATGTATATTAAACTCATTTGATCTATCGTCCTTAAACGATAACATCCACCACGTATAATTGGTGTAATGAAGTGTTTATTTGATGATCTCTCAAACTCTTCACCAAATATTTGTTTTAGCAAGTGTGGATTATGAGAAGTAGGTTGCATCAATGCTAAAAAATAGGCCCATGAACATCTTGGATGTTTGGTTTCATCACATAATGTGACAATGTGAGGCCAATTCACATCAGCTAAATACATATTTCCATTATGCGGAAACATATCTGAGTTAAAATAAAATGTCCAAATATACAGAAAAATAAAAACTTGATTAAAGTAACTTATTTAACTTACAATTGAATAGTCTGGTGAGAATAAGTTGGAATTAATTAAAATCAAATAGAAGATTGAGATGGTTAAATATTTTTTGTGATTGTGAATATTAAGGTCCTGATAGTGGTATGCATTAGATTAGTTTGAGGATAGCATATGTCTCAGTGATTTTTCTTATTGTGCATTGTTTCTATTTCGTTGAGTATCTTTCCTTAAATTCTTTAAATTCTTAACACAGAAAAATTTGCTTCGTTTATAATGATGTCAGATTAGTCATATTTGGTGTAACATTAACTTTTGTAAAAGTATTTAATTCATGGATAAACAATGGTAGTATGATTACACCTCAATCAGAATGAGCCTAAAACATTAGGCCAGTCTCGACACAACTCAAGTTATAATAGAGTTACAGAAGTTATTAATACTTTTCTAGGCAACTTTTATCTTCACCAAAAATTAGGTCATGGAGTTTGCTATTTTTAAGATAAGATTTATGCGAAAGTTCCCTTGATACAATTGCTCATAAACGAATATATTATTCACACAACTTCAACGTACGAAGATACATAAGCTTATTGTACCTTTGTATCAGCTAGTTCTGTTTTAAGACCCATCTTTAGTGAATTATATTGAATTCCATAGATCAAGATGTCCAGCTTTTAATATAATTAAATTCAGATAGAGGATGCACGATTTTTCTTGCTTGATTCTTGGTGAATCTGCTCTTTTCAGTTGAAAATATGGAGATGTTCATCTGAATTCTAAATCTATTAAGAATCATGTAAGCAATTACCAAAATGTAATCTTCGATGCAACATTCCAATGAATTTTCATACGTTTCATCGTTTAATTTGAGTCCTAAGAATGATGGTTCATATTTAGCCATTTTTCAGAGTAACATTTTTAGAAACTTAAGGCAGTGAAACCAAGATTACTTTTGTAAGGCCAACCTATTTTCCATAAAACATGCAGAGCTAGATTTTAGCGTGATGAGAGAAGTGAATACATACTTCCATAAAATTTGAAAATAAGAGAAAAATTTAGTTTTTATGTATCGGTTATTTTAATCTTTCCATAGATGTTTAAGACTGCCATTGATTAGTCTCGCTTGGTATTTGTACATCCTGTGCGGATTGTCTCAATATTCCTATTAAGTCACAACCATTTTTAAGCTAAATGGACAACAAGATGGCGTTTGAAGAGAATGGTACTGAGTCCAGGAGTGATCACCAAATTCTCGGATGCAGGTGCATCTAGATGACGAGTCTCAAATAAGACGAAAGGAGCGTTCTGGTTTTGACTGCTAGCCACCATTCATCTCTGCTCAAAAGAAGAAAATTCATTCAGTGTGCCCTGGTAGTTATCTCAATGGTATCATCTAGTGGTAAAAACCATGTTCAAACAACTATATGATGTGTTTCTGAGCTCTATATGAATACAATTTTTAGAACCAACTGGGTTTCAAATGAGTACAAAGGAAATTTAGTAGGTAACTGTAGAACTTAAAGCCACTCATATCAGTAGTGGAAGGGTTGCTCAGTGATGACATTAAATAATCATTGTTCCAGATCTCGCTATATATATTAATATGGAGACGATACTGTGAGCTTTTACTTCATCTTCTTTATTAGTCTACGTTTCACATTATTTTTGTATTTACTTATAACTTATGCACAATGAGCATGGGAAGATCTAAAGATTCATTGAGAAAGGCATTATTGTCGTTTGTTGTCATATGAAATTATCTAAGGGAATTAAATTTATTTCTCTTCTAATAGACCCTAGTTGAGTCCATTTTTGATGTAGATGAGGAATTATGAAATATAGTTTCTTAATTAACTTCGTATATTCATCGGTTTAATCACGTTAGTATGTAACGGAATATAATAAGTCAAGCAGAAGCATTTCGGAAACATATTACATTCATTTGTTAATGCAGACAGATTATAAAAGAAGAGAATATCAGAGAAGACGAAATCTTACTACTGAAAATACCACTCATTACAAGCATTAATAAAATCCGATATAGGGAATAAATAGTGTGAGCAAGTAGAGAATGATAAGCGTATAGACAAACACAAGCACACAAGAATAAAATTAACAAGGAAATGAATAAAAGAGGTATGTCCCGCTACACCATCACAACAGCGATAAACTTTTCAAATTGTACTAACTAGTTCGACCTTATATATAGGGTTTCTATAGGTTTAGGGAACGAAGATATTTAAAAAATTCAAATTACAAAACATTTTGTAAGTTTGATTTGCAAAACAGTACCAAATCAACAGAGTTCCGAATTCACTCTTTGATGTTGATTACAAGGTGAAGATAGGTTAAATACTAATATTAACTCTTAAAGATTGTAAAAAGTTCATAACGTTGTTCTAATCAAATTAACAAATGAGATATCAGTGTTATTTCTTTAAGTATTAAACTGATATAATTTAAATTCAGTGTTAATGAATGATAAATATTATTTAATAGAAGCCACATAATTCCTAACGACATTTAAACGAATTAACCAGACAATTATTTTTCGTGACGAGCTAATACGAATATGAATGGTAACTGAACATTGCGAAGCTGAAGGATTTAACGGCGGACAGAGAGTAGATATAGGTTATGAATATCACTCAGTAGCTTAGATACTAAAGTGCCAACTATCGATTTTGAAGTTGTTACAGAATAAATAGATGAGTTGTGGCTGGTATTGCGATAGAGGACACCTGTTTCGTCTTGTTTAGGAATCTGAAGTTTCTGCGTCCCATCTCAAACTGACTCAGAAATCAAAGTGAATCTTCGGTCTTTAAATCTATATTGAGTCAATTTAAAATTAGTTCAATGCAAAAAATTACGAAACCCCATGATCCACACACTACATACCTTCATAAGTATCCTGACTCCAGTAATGATACCATATAGTAGTAGGTATAATAGAAGACCCATAAATACCAGGTGGGAAACCATTTTCATATTCTCTGTATTGTGGATTACTCATCTGCTGAAATGTTCGAAACCCAATAGTCTCTTGTATCAAATATCCCTTCACATCTTCCTCACTGATAAAATCATAAACTCTTTCTGATTTGTTGGCAGAAGTAATCACAAGTAAAAATACACTGACAGGACATATAATTTTATCCATCAATTCATACATAAGTCGTGAATTCAATTCACATATGTTAGCTATCACTGGAAGTGTGTTAAATCAATATTATCAATTTGAAAGCCATTGATATTGCATTTAAACAGATCGTTAATCTCTTTTGTTTAAACAGATAAATTGCAACTAATAATTGGAAGTTAGTTCCCACTAAAAAAAATATGATTCAATGAGTAAATAGGTAAAATGCAATTAACTTATAATATGGACAAATATTTATAGAATTACACAACTAAATGTGACTCGGTTGATGTTCGACGACCGATTATCATAGTTCACAAAGAACTTATTTTTTCTATTAAACAGTCTTCGTTGGGCATAGCCGCTTCCATAAATTAAGGTCACACCCGGTTTATCTTAAGCATTCTTTATGGAAAACCGACAAATATAAGATATAATCTAGAGTCCTTTCACCATCTTTAGGGAATGGAGTTCCGAGGAAATTCTAATGACTGTTACAATTACTACGTAATCTAATAATCTGTTGTTTTTGTACAGTGTCAATTACTTAGTTCGTAGTCGTACTTACAGCTAATTTTTACAAATAGCAGCTAACAATAAAACAAAGGCGAGTCCCGCAATTTACGAAGGTTACCGAGATCACGAAGACTATCGAGTCATGAGTTATTTAGGAATATAGTAAAATGCTACGCAACGACATAGCCACTGGTGGAAAAATTATAAAATGAAGGGTATTTACGAGACAGAAACAAATGTTTCACTAGTTGAAATCATGAGTCAGTTGAAAACCGGGAAGCACTGGACGGCTGTTTCGTCCTAGTACGGTGGCGCAACTTCGTGGATTGGTTGAAGTTAGACATTAACACTATTGGATGTCAGATAAGTGGTCTAATGGTTAGGCGCTCGTGCGCAAGACTGATAGGTCCCGGATTCGAATCTTGCGGAGGGCGGGATCGTGGATGCGCACCGCTGAGGAATCCCATACTAGGATGAAACGGCCCTCCAGTGTTTCCATGGTGGTCTAGCTTCAACTGACTCATGATTTCAACTAGTGAAATTTCTAGATCACCACAAAACCCCTTCTGAAAATAAGTGTTTATTTAGTGATTATGAAAAGCAGAACATCCCTCCGCTATATTATAAAATACATGTATAGAACGGAGATAAATATGACCGCACAGGCTACTTAAATATGGTCCGGAAGGAAATTGCCCCCCCCCCATTTGTCTTCAAATTTTAGTAGTATGATGTTTCTCTATTTTTTAATTTTATTAGTCCTGCCTTCTAGGCATGTTCAAGACACTCACGTTAGCTAACCAAACAAGTAACACCTAAATGCAGGTTGAAGGGATGTTGGAACGTACCTAAATCAATCACTAAACTTGAAGACAGGGGTAACCAATACCAAAACATGTGAGCCACTGACTGAAACGTTATTGCACTACCGGCACTCGGCTTTTTGACAGTATTATGAAACCATAACTTGGCTTTCTTTATTTTTTAAATTGTGGGAACTGATTTACATCAAAACTACTCACCTTATTCCACAATACCAACAGAATTTACGCGTAGTACTCAAATGCTTCATGCTTAAAGATATCACCGAAATACCCCAAGACTACTGTCACAACCGAACCACAGATAACCAAGAATGAGCTTTTGTCAGCTCCTATCGTCACAGTTTCAGTTCGGCTATTTTATCTTACGCTTATTGCATTTTAGATATCAGAATTACAGCTAGAACTTTTCCTGCTTATTTGAATACTTTCGTGGTCTCATCGGTCTGTATTGAATAAAGAATCATATGCTATCTAAACTGAAGGTAAGATCGTAGGCATGCAGAATCCGTTTACATTTGATCGGATTTAAATTACTAGATAAAGCGAATGTAACGGGATATTCCTCGTAGTAAAAATATTGATTGAAACATAACAACACAAGTATCCCCCCAATTTAGGCATAATAAATACACACCTACAAGAAACAAATGTTTCGTTACTTAGTCAATCCTCGAGGAACCTAGGTATTTCAGCCGCCATACCTTGGTAGAAAAGTACTATTCAGAGGCCACTGCTCTAGTATTATTCAAATCAACCCCCAGCTCACTTTGCAGTCCAAACGTTTGAACGAATTCTCTAAGAGACTTGTCTTGCAAATGAGTAGAAAGCACATTACCAACTTGTACTAGCTGAGAAATACTCTTTTCATAAGCTATCAATGAATAAAGAACAAGCTGCTAATATACATAATGTGAGTTCTGTAGCTCTTTCTATATTATATTCATCGCCGTATTGTCTATTTAGCACCATTAAGAGTGATGTCAGTTTCCCAGCAGTGACAATAAACTTGTTGGAATTAAGTGAGTGACCCAGATCTTATGGGAAATTCTCGATGATAATTACCAAAAATGGCTTCCTATGTGTAGTTTGATTTTAAAATCCTTAAGTCTGAACGCAATATGAATGTATGAAAACGAGTCTTAACTAAATCTTATGAGACGGGGTCCTCAATCACCCGATAATTGCTTTATTTGCATCATATTCAGAAGTATCTAAACCCCATCAAACACCGATCATGGAAGAATTATTGCTTGTAATGTGTCGCTTGGTTGAGAACGTATAGTATGTAACTCCGCATGCAAACGAAAACAGGTGTTTTCTCCAAGGTGACGTTATTGTTGATAAACTTGTCGATTAGTCCATATGCGCATGGAATATGCAAGTTACACAGCCAATAAAACCTGGACCTGATAGTCCAAGCTGTGCGAGAAAGCAATCTATTGCGAACACGGTATACTTACGAATTCATACCATACTTTTCATAGAATCCTGGCCGGACACATTCCTTAAGATACTTCATATTTTAAATGAACTTTACATGACCTAACGAAAAATAATGTACTGAGGAAGCACTAATATAATTTTTAAATAAATTCTCATAAAGCAAAAGTCAATAAGCTTTTAAAGGATTTTTGAGATATTTACAGTACAAACTTAGGTTTTGAATAACGAAATCTTTTATTTACATTGTATACAGTGTAACTGCAATGTGAACAAAAACCACTTCACTGTGTGGGATTAGCTGATTCTGTTGCGGCAGACATACGCTCGGTAATAAATGGGTGTTGCAAAGCTTCATTTAAAGAAATACGACGAGTAGGATCCAACATTAAAGTTTTTTCGAGAAGATCGCGAAACTGTGTTACTTTGCGGAAGATTGGTTCACTCAGCTTCGATTGACCAATAAGGTCTGTCATTAGGTCTCTTGTTGGTTGTAAATTACGAATTACCGTCATTTTCTCCTAAAACGAAATAAGCAACATATAGACGACTAATAATAAATACAAGAGCGTTTCCATTCCAGTTCATGAAAATCTTGAACACTTTTTCTATTAAGCAGCAGTTTGGCAAATAACTACATTTTCAGTAAAAATGGATGGTGGCTAGCAGTGGAATCCAGGACGCGCGTTTCATCCTATTCGAGATTCGTCGACTGAATGTAAGTTTTCGGAACATTTCATGAAAACGAACAACCCGAGGGAGTGTTAAGATGGTTAAGATATCAGATAAACAAAAAAACATCGGTAAGTTATTTAAAAACATACTTTACATATACTAGACTTTCACAACTACTGAATATTGTTTAAAAACCAGGAATGATATGAAGAACACTGAAATGATTGACATTAATTGATCTGAAGTCTTACAAGTACTTGATTTTTGGTAAAAATAAAAACAGGATATGAGAGTTGCGAACTACAACAAAAATTTTTAGCTACTAGGTTGGAAATCTAAATAAGCGTTGATAGTATATACATTAACTAACCTGGCAAAATTTGCAAGGTAATTTAGGTAGATCAAAATTCAGTATTTGTGGGAACTAAGATCCGAAAATTATCTCTCAGTGCATGAAATTATTGAGAAGAGTGAAGACAATCGTCGTATTAACTGCCTGATCTGATTAACTCCAAAGATTTTACCTGATAAGCGAGACAATTGGAAATATTAAATTATGAAATCACAGCCATTTATCCTAGATGTTACATAGTTAGTAGAGTGAATTTTTTAATGTCTAATCTCATGCGCATTTCAATGTTACGACATTGCATAGATGGTGCAACACTATATTACAACAAATCATTAGCCGACCAGAAACACAAGTAGTCACATTTATCCCAGGTAAACGCACCGAAATGATAACCTGTATGTTAATCATTTATTAATAGGAATAAAGCACATTCAGATAGCATGATCAGCTGAAAATCTGATAGATCCACACAATTGGAAAGCGGTAGAACTTAGATATACTTGCATGGGAAGCGATAAAACCATTTGACCTAATAATAGTAATAATAATAATAATAGTGGAAGGGATTAAGAACAACATGTATGAGATTAAAATACGCGTTATAGCTTTTAAATTCATAAACATAGATCTTTGCATAAGTCAGCAAACCTTTTGTGTTACTTTGTCCACTTCATGATAGAGGAAATTGCACTGCTCATCAAAATGCTGTGCGCGAAACATTCCACGGCGGATCACGCGACCTGGTATACGTCCTTTGACTTCCATCATTAAACGCAACATTTCATTGTTAGTCTTTCCTGGAAACATAATTTGTCCAGTATGTAACTCAAATAGAGTTACGCTGCAAGACCACAAATCCACATTGTAGTCGTAAGGAACACCTAAAACTAAAACAAATTTCAAACACCAAGATTTTAATTAAAAATGATTTTGAACGATCCACGGTGACTCGGTTATTATGAAAACATGTCCATCAGGTTACATCTGTAGAGTCAAAATGTAACGAAAGTCTATCTCATATAGTTATTAAGTAAGATGAACAGGCGATTATACCTCGACATTAATGTAAGCCATTAACCAGGTACGGATTCAGGTATCCGACTGATGGGCTACACCTTGTGGAAACTGGCGACGCTACCCGGTAAGAAAAATGTTGAAAGTTGACTCCATCAATCACTAAATTGTTTTAAATTCGTGTTAGCCGATTTCAAAAATATGGCTATTAAGTTATTATGTGAAATCTTAGAGAAATCAAAAGGAACACTTTATTAAAAAGTATTTCAGATGACTTGGTGAAATGATTGTTATTATTACACACAACAGAGTTGGATAATGAATTGTTGTTATACTAATTTATTAACATATTGGACAAAGAAACAAACCAACAATTTTACATAGAACGATATTACCAGCCAAAGACGCTCAATTAGTTAAGTGATGAAAACAGTAATATAGCGAACCCCATATATTATTAAGTATTATTAAAAAATATACCCAAATTCTTTGCAAATGCTTTCTTAAATGAAATGAGAAACAAAAAAAAACTCTGTAATCATCATCAGCCGAATGTAATAATTATTCGTACAGTAGGTTAGTCCCTGGCTGCTATTAACTTAAAGTATGAGAAAAATATAAATAACCAGCACACCTTCACGAAACAGTACTATGGTTAACTAACCGTATGTACTACTGAGGGAACTATGGGTACTAAACAAACCAACTAATACTGAGAGAAAATAACTGACTGAGAAGCTGACGAGAACTAGCGTAAACGTAGTAACCACGTAATATTCGTCTACGGTAAGATTTAGCAAACTTGACTTTTAAAAAAAATACTTATTAGGGGCATTTTGTGTGTGCACTCATTATATAGTTGTAACTAAAAACAGACGTTATAACATGTCCAGATCTTTTAAACTACATACTCTTTAAGGATAGGATACACGATACGGACTCATCATGCTTAAATGAGAGCTTTTATTCACAAAGCAATACCATATTCGATTCGGAAAACCCAATCAAGTATTACGATGTCGATATCACAAGTCAGTAGCGATAAACCTAAGCTAATTAACCCGCTAATCGTGACCGTCACAACCTTGTGCATAGATGAAGGAAGGAGTCAAGCAGATTCAGGACAAAAATATATAAACCAGGAACCCTAGCAGTTTGAACTAAATAAGAAAATAAAATGTTTTAAAAAACGTAAAATTCACTAAGGAGCGCATAAGAAAGATTACCCTCGCTAAAGGTAGCAAGAAGACAGCCCCACTAGTATCGTCACAATACTCCATATCTTGACCACGATTATTGAATAGCAAGTTCATGGTGGCGACTGATTTCCATTGGCTGATATCACGCCGAATACGCAAAAAATGCAGAAAGTAGAAAAATGTCAGTATTTAATTTAAAAAATCAAAGGTAGTATTAAAAAGCATGTTACAAAATACCATATAACAAGAAACTTACTTATTTCTGGAGCACGATAAAAACGTGAAACAAGATAAGGCGTGATATCATTATCCTGTATAGTAGACGCTGATCCGAAATCAGACAACTTAAGCAAGATTTTGTTTTCATTTACAAGTATGTTATCAGGCTTGATGTCCGCATGCAAAATACCACACTTGCGCATCAGCTTCAAAGCCAACAGAAGCTGCTGAGTGTATGAGCGTATAGCAGCAATATGCAGCCCAATATTACGTCCGTACTTTTTCAGAACCTCGCGAAGATTTAGACTCATCAACTCGAACACCATGCATAGATGATTTTTATGGAAAAAGTGACGATAAAGTCGCAGACAATGAAAACGATCTTGTGGGTCAGCATCGTTGAGTTTTTTAAGAACTTCTAATTCCCTTAGACCTGATTTGTGCCTAAAAATAGGAGCAGATTTAAGCAAATAAAGTGAAACAACACGATTATCAGCGTACTGCCAAAGGACCTCAGCAACTACACTATATTACTAATTATACAATAAATACTAGTATGATGAATTCAGACTACTTATTGTATATTACATGAAAACCACTGGGTAAAGTAAAAGTTCTAACTTACATTACATCGTTGTTTCTTATTATTTTGATTGCCACCTCTAAATTGCCCCGAGCACTGTCCCTCGCCCTAACAACGTTAGAAAACACTCCGTGACCAGTATATCCGTAAACAGCATAACGCTTGTCCAAAACTTCACCAATGCGAACACCTGGAGATTAAAAATTATTTGTATAATACTCATCAAAATACGTAAAATGTATATATGTACTGTCACCTAGAAACACTTATTTCAATTATTAATGAAACTAGCCCCGAATTCGGAGATTTTATCATGCTAAAGGAGTAGACATATCTATATTAAGATAAGGATTAGCTAGTCATGATGCAGTTCTTATTACCATTCAGAAATCCAACTAAAATTTAACGTAAAGTTCTAAGGAATTTAAGTGAGGTTGTTTTGAGTCCTAAAAATGTCCACTGCTTTTCTGGTTTGTATGAACAGAAATCAAGGAAACGAATAGCAAAAAAACCATAAATTTAAAAACTTACGGTAATAACCTTCAGCATCATCCCAATTGTCGGAGAGGGCATGATTTTCAGAGGCCATAGCCCCCAATGCCATTGTCCCCGGAGCATGATGCAGCTCGACTTCGAATTCCTCAGCAAACATATCAAATGTGGAGGGTTTGGAATTGTTATGTCCAGAGATATTTGGGTCATTTCTTCTTTTATCTTGAAGTGCCATTGCGGCTGGAGCTTGAACACCGGATAAACGACCACTTGGTGAGCTCGGTTGGTCTGGAAAATATGATGGAAAATCAAGTTAAATGAAACAAACCAAACGTACTTTGAACAGTTTGGCAAACATATAAAATTACTAAATAGCTTGAAGTCTACATACTTAAAATGGATATGAGATAATGAGTCTAATTTTAATACGGAAATTGACTGAAGTTAATATCAACACTTATTTTAACGTCGAAATCTAAATTTAAGACAATCGAGTCTGTCTCTAACTTAGTAAACACAATGACACATGCAATCATACTTTTAGCAAGAACGAAAAACCATCGAAAGGCATACTATATAAATATAGGTAACTTCAATCATACTAAGTCTCTGCTAACTGCATAAAGAAATTTTGCGAACTGAACCCGTAAACAGTGCAAACGTGGAAACTAGTAATAATTTACTTTCGATGTAATGAATTTTAGTATCGATCTTACCTACCTGAGGTACTAGTTGGAGCCATTTTGATACATTCTAACTTAGCCTGGACAAACCTCTCAAAATCGAAGTCCTCAGTATCATCAAACGTGACCATATCTGTCAGACTGTCTGCCTGAATAACTTGAGGATTGGGATCACTGTCGAGTTTAGAGATTAGGGCTTCTCCTTGATTTCCGACCTCTAACTTCTTGAATAAAAATACACAAGTTAGATTTATTAGATACTAACTTCTAGCAACTTTTGTCTTTCAATACGTCTTCGTCTGATAATCTCTTCCTCATCTTCCTCGTTGTCAACCAGTACTAAAGATTTATCTCTGTACAAAAATAAAGAAATTTTGTGAGTTACTCATTGCCTGAGATGGATTTATGATTATCTTCGGAATGTTTCCTAGTCTTGTGAGATTTTTTTTCATGATGAGATCGTTTGGATTCATGATGTGTATCACAGCTGGGACTGCGGTGTTTAGACTTTTTGCGACGACGAATGTAGTCTTCTTGTTGGTCGTATGACTTTGGATACCTATTTCGGTAGTAATTATCATCGTATTTATCTACATGTCCCGAGTGGTTGCTTGATTCTTGATAATAATAACTAGAACTATAGTGATATTCTGATTCCTCTCGATGGGAACGACGTTTCCTATGCTTCTCTTCGCGGTGATCCTTTACTGAAAGCATTGAAAATCTGAAGAGAAAAATTACAGGGTCGGTAACACTTATCCATATAAATAAAAACCACAACGGTAAAATCTCTTACTATGAAGCATTTTGATTATTCAACATAGCATTTCAGTCCAGCAAGTTTCTAGACAAATTACATATGCACAGAACTTGTCTTAAACGAATTGCTACAAGTTCTCCCCAAGTATTTCTACGGAAATGGGAGCTGTAACAATGCCTTCTATCTTAAAGAGACAAACCTTATTCCATAAATGGCTCAAATCCCACTCGTAGTCACAATATCTGATTATGAAAATAACACTGACCTTATTTGTTTATGCACAAATCTGGTACAACCAAGCATCAAAGATGGGATGTGCCATACAATTTTAGGGTTGGCATAAAAAAGGAGTACATTCGGACAGGGAAATATACGAAATAAATACGCGAGAACAGTAAAGAGCAGGAAGTATAATTAAGAACCAAGAGCCTTCCACTGGTTATAGGAGTTGCCCCCCCCATGTTAAGGTGAACTGACGCAAAATCCCCATTGACCTTCACTGCCTAATGACACTTTAAGTCACTGGGTCGCACCAACTCTGATTTCAGTTAGCGAGTAGTGAGGGACGATAGGATGTCAATTTTACGCTTTCCTCGAGACCAAGAGGTCAACGCGTAAACTGATTATTACTGTTTTTACCACTCCTTTCCGAAGTCAGAAAATAACCTATGGTGTGGAAGCTGATGTAGTGACATTCGCGAAACATGTCCACCGAAACTGAAACATTAGGATAACATTACCTCAAATTATCTTTATTGTACCCATAAACAAACTGCCGAGTCTCAGAATTAATAGGGTTTTGCCACTTGATGTCCCGAAATACCCTGATCAGGAGTAGGGGAAACGTAATTTTCTTGAAACCCTTTCATAAGCTTACGTGTTCATTGCCATTTCACAATGAGTACCTCGGTGTTGTTCAAGGAACTGAGACTATAAGCAAACATCTAGTGACACAGCCGAGTTGACTAATACAGACGACCTGCCCGGAGCTGAGAAGCTTTGATTCCAAACCAATGATGTAAACGAGCTTCAGGATTATATGGGATCGTATGATAGATCTCAGCTTAGTTTTATCCCACGAATCGTCGACAGACCTGACACCGAGACACCTGATTCTGCATGAATTTTATTGAGGTGCGTGCAATGTTTATGCGGTAATTGAGTTAATTCCAGTAATCCGATAGATATAGAGATGGGGAAAGATCTAACCTGGCTGACTCTTCCATTGTCAAAACAAGCACAAATTTGTAACGAGTGACATGCACTAAAACAAAGTATAACTAAACTACTCTTAAAAACACCTGATTCAATGCAATTATTTCCTGTCTCTATAAATTTATTACTATGAGTAGGCTGAAATTATGTAGAAAATTCATTTAGTGTATTTCTAAACACACTTGAAATTTTATCAACTGTACGCTCTCGTTGTTTGAATGCATCATGAACTTTTGAGATTATGTTCTATTTATTAAACTTTTAGCTAGCTAGTATACTTGATTCGAATTGAAAATATAATTTCTGATCAAACAATATGTTATGGCGATCTTAGTTATCGTTTGCCTTAAAGATACTCTCGGATCTAGAATTACCATAATTTAGTCATAGATGCATCCCACATACATTACACAAATGATGAAACCATGAAAAAGGCATACACCAAGTATTATGAACAACCGAGGAACACGTCTCTACATCGTACTGTAACATTCGATATACGCGAAACTGATCTCATAAGAAATAACATTACCATTTTGACTATTATACCATATTTTTGTGCATGAGCTCACATTTGCAACCCTAATCCTGTGCTCATTTTTATCTTTCACATGTTGATCACTCATTCCCATCACAACGACCACTGCAATTTATGTATTTATTTTGCCGTTATACCTCAAGATTCTTCTATTTCTATCTTTGCTAAAGCATTGGATACTCATATATATCTGTGTCAGCCTTTAAGGCACACAACTCTGTATTATTTTTCTGTAGACTTGAGGGCACTTTGTAGCCCTTAAAATTACCAATTAAGCAATAAACTTCAATTAGACACACTTCGCGCTACCGGGTGATATGATAGGACAAGTGAGCGATATCATACTTAAACCAGATGCAGACATTCCATCAGATATTATGAAGACGAAAGTCGTTAAGGCTAATTTTTTCATCTCACCATCAGGCAATCTGATCGGCCTTCAGCTAAAGTAGAACTAGGTAAAAGTTGAATAGATAGATGGTGTTTTTCGTAAATAGACACGTTGAAAATTATCTACTTTATCGGTCACGGCTCAGGTTATTTCGCGAAAAATCCCTCAAACGTTAGCACATGATAATGAAATGTTGATTTAGATAGACTCGCAAAAATAACGAACAGATTGAGCGAGAGTATGGGAATACAGACGGCATAGAGGTGAAGTACCTCTACAAACGGCCAACTTGTTAGTTTGCCGTAAACAGTTAATGTATTTATCAAACACGTAACTCAGTAACATATGCAGTAAACATCATAGTAAATGTTTTGAAACAGATCTAGGGATTGACCTAGACGACTCACTACCTTCAGTCATGTCTACGTTTGCTGTTGTCAGGGAAATCTAGTCAAGGCAGCTAAAACTATGTGAAAACAAAGGTAAGTAGAAGGTGTGGTAACAGATAATCGTTGGTAGCTTCTATCATCAGAGCTTTCAAGACAATCGTCTTCTTTGTATCACATATACGTACCCATGTGTGATTCTCTGAATGCGTATTTGATGAATCACTTCCTAGTTCAGAAAAGTTCTCCACATTGGATTACAACCTAAGTATCACCTGGTTTTGCACTCTCCAGACATTCCGACTTTACGTGTTCTGCACTTACAAGGTTCGATCTAGCAAGATGAGAGATTTAGGTACATACGCCTAACATACGATGTGTTAGAGATTCTCCGAAATTACAAGCAATCAATCACTTTTCACTTCATCCTGATAAGATTTCGAAAACTACAACTGTTAGTCAACTCGGATTACACGAATTTGTCCGTATGTCTTTCAGCACTTCATTTTCTAGGTAGTACTCAAATTATATTTAGCGAAAAATAATTAATAGGGCTCGATCAATAATTCCAAAGGGCTGGATGTTATACACTACGAGACCCTTGATCACAACCGAAATATATCTTCCCACCTAACCATCCATTACTTAATATTTAATTGTTCTGCAACTATTCCAATAAAAGGTACTAGAACATTTGTATTATCACATTCCAACGTGCCGAAATCCTACGTGAACTGAAACACTAATAGGCAGTCTGTGAATCGGTGCATCGCCTTTATTGTTTTTCCTTTAAAGAAAGTGACCCATGTTGTCACTAAAAAGAACTCAAAAGTAATCTATAATTAACATTATTCTTGACGACAATAACATTCACATAAGCTATACAGATAGGTTTAAAGTTAATGTACAAACTAAATTGTTTATTGAAAGATATCATATCATGTGAAAAAAACGTTGCTAATTATTCAAAAATTGAAGAGATGTTAGGATAAAATCAAATATGAGGAGCATATTAATCCGTTTGGCAGGTATGAGAAGGGTAGAGAATAGATTAACAATGTGAAGGTATTAATAACTAACAACTAAAGCTAAAAATAAGGACAGTAAAATCATTACAGTCATGTTAAACGATCACACAACTGTCCATAAAAATTAAGTGCCAAGACCATAGAAGAGTGGCTGCACGCGCGTATCTGTTTTGCTCATTCCATATTTAAAATGATGGGTCGCTTGAACCTCCACAGAGCAAAAATTGTCAACTTGAGCTCATTTCGAACCAAATCTTCTGAGTAAACAGATGATTTTCAAGGCCTTTCAGGTTAGGCCGTATAGCCAGCTTTCACAAGAAGTCTAAATATTTAACTGCTGATCGATTCAATTTCACCGTCTAAAAGCGACGTGGTATGATGCTTAAAATGCATAGGGAAGCTCCCATTTTGTGTGGTCTACATTTTTATTTATTATGACATCACGTCTTTGTATCCCCATGGTTCTTATTCTTATCTCATAACTACTGTAATCACGCTCATGCTTATTAAAATTAGGTCTCTAGCGTCATCCTTTTGACGTTGTTGCCTGACAATATCGAAGGTTAACTTGTAACAATCTAGATTGACTAGTCAAACGTTGGCTGCAAACATCTTAGTTGTAAATAACCAGCCTAGATGATCTGTGTCGAGTGATCGGAGACCTACTTGAGTTAGACGGGAATGGTGTGACGAACCAGCTAACGTCCAAGTCACACCTCGTGGTCAGAACCTTACGTGGAGTACCCCATTGGCGTATCAGGGTACTATAGATGCCTTGAAGAATGTACAACACAGAGAACGTTATAACAGAAATATATTAGTTAAGGTAGATACAAGCGAAAGTAAGACCACTGCCGTATGTGCCAGTCCATGGCGTACGATTAACTGATGCGCGTTGGTTGTCCGTAACATTGACGAGGATCGATGATTCGTTCGATATTCAATGCCCCAACTTCCGGATGATTTGGGTAGGGCTCAGTGAAATTTCACTGGCCATACATGGTAATGTCAAACCATTATAGTTCAAGTATTTATTTACTTCTCTATACTGTACAGGCATTATATTTCCTATCATTTTACGATAAGTGCTGAAATAATTTGTGTGTTTGAAAAAGAAAGCATCATGCACGATCTAAATAAAGATTTATTCACTGGTTTGTTCAATCAATAAACGTGGGGTACACGACTGCACGAAACGGTTTGGCATACAGAGAAGGATTTCACAAACGAGCCGTGATGTTCTCATCCTCGCAGTTCATTGCAAATATTCAAGCATCACCGTATAAGACGAACGAGTATAACACATCGGAAAAATTTCACCACAACAACCCATTGAAAAGGCTGCTCTTAAACGAGGAAATCTGACTGTTTAACAAGGGCAAAGAGAATCATTCCACAATATCGATTTGGGCCAGAATCTGGAATCAGGACGGCAGGTGGCCAGCGGACACAGCTACCTGTCAAACCTACCAGACGCAATAGTGCAAATTGCTATCTTGCCGACATTGGAGCAGGAATTAGTTCCCTTTTTGAAGGCTTTTATGATCGTCATTAAGAACACATGTTAAACCGACGCACATAAAAAATCAGTCGCGAAACACAGTATAATTACCACGACCGAAGTGTGAGCAAATCCATTCACTGGATCTTTGTTGTGCCAGACGTGGCTATCCCTATCATTGGCATAGATCTTCTAGAAATAGAAGCAATTCTTTAATCCGAAAAAATGAGGGTTAATTGATAGAAGCACTTACCCATCTGCCTACATAACTCCATTTTCGACAGAAAAGTATCCAAGTCAGAGATCATCATGACCCGTACTTCTATCCAATAATTGATGAAAGGTTGGTTCTCTGTCAGTGAACATAGACTATCTAATCCGTAAACAAACCCTGACGAGTGCATCTAAAACACATCCACGACGAAAAGCCCACATTAAAACTTAGGACGGAATTTTCAAAAACAGACTTGGATGAAAGCTAATATTTGGGTGACTTATGACGACCTTCCAACAACAAAACTAACCTACTCTAATTAAACAGATTTTGACTCAGTGCATTTGTACTGAGGACTATTTTTTTTAACCTTTTTACCTCATTATGAGGGATGTGTTTTGAATTCTTGCTTTGTGTATTCATATTTTGACGAGTAATGTTAATTATTTGAAATACTTCAAAAAATTGAGATGACTATGTACTTACGAAAGAACCAAAATAGAACCAAACCACTGAATCTCCTTAAACATAACATAGTTACATAAGGCGTTTGGCTATTAGAGGAAAAGTTATTGACTATTCTGAATTGCGAGTAATAGACAGTTAACAAATAGCTCTTAACCTTAAACGGATTGGGAAATTTAGTGGTGTTTATCATGACCCCACAATCCTCAAAGCTGAACGTGAGACAACCGAGAAAATAAGTATTTAAAACTTGAAACGAAGAGAATGCCAACAACGGTGAACGCGGGAACATTCATTTGAGAGTCAGTTAAGTGGCATGACTCAGCCTCGCAGATGTGGCCATTCTGTATAACTTGTCTTTACTCATACTGAAAACATTGATCGATCTTTAGCCAAAATGTGTTCTTCAAAGGCGCTAGACGTCATATTGTTGATTCTTACGATACGACAAGTTTGGGTAGATAATGATGGGACTGCCATGTAATATCTCATAGTTAAGGTAGTCACATCATGAAAAATCTACAATTTTACGACATGTCTATC